ACGTGTTAATTAACAGAATATATATCTGAGCAAGTACTTGCATTCGTTAAAGCATCGTGTAATCTGTACTGCAAGCAGATGATCATCAGAGAGAAGATGACACTTAACTGTGCATTAAACACAGAGAGAGCAAGTGGTACAGCACAAAGGCACTGCTAATTAATTACATTAAGCTGAAGATACTTTTACTAGTACATTAATATAATTAATAGTGTCTCAAATCCCACATACTTAGCAGTTCACCAAAGTTGTAGGGTTCTACAAAATGTGTGCAGTCTTGCTTCTGCATGTGTCTGCAAATTCTGTTTGATTATCTGTGGTCCTGGTCAGGCACATCTCCAAGATAGAATAGGCAACCTGTCCAAACCAGTTTGTAACCTGCAATTTGAGGATTTGGGCATAGATGAGATGATTGCATATAAATGTATTAACGTGTTGTGAGCCATCAGGCTTGCTTGCAAACTTTTCTAATACTCATTCAAGAGAAATTAGCATACTTGCTGCTGATGGGCAGTGGTGGACCCCATCACTTGCCAGAGAAGTGCTAACAGCGGCTCGTTGTGCCAAGGGGCAGTCCTTTGGAAGTGAGGCACTTGCCAGATGATCCCATCTGTGGCAGTCTTCTGTGGGAGAGAACACAGACTTGCAGACAAGCTAGGCAGGAAAAAACCTCACTGCAGTGAATGTTCAAGCCTTGCACCACAAGTCAGCGCTTCTCATGGAGGGACAGCTATGTGCAGACCTCTTTGCTTCATAACAGAAAGATCATGTTCAGGCTCTTGGCTGCCTGGTGTCTGCCATCTTATATAAGCCAGTATAAGAGACTTCATGTATCCACAGCAGGATTTTTTTTTTAAGTCAAACAAGGCAAAGCCCATATTCTCCTAGCAGCCTGAAACTTAGAGATTTTATTTGAGAGACTCACTAAGCCTAATGACAAAGCCATTGCCTCTAAATGCTCTGTCAATAATAACATCAAATGTAATTCCCAGATGTTAGTTGTATGAATTATATCATCATCATCACTAATGGCAAGCTGCTCATATGAGAGAGGCGATTATGAGATGTAAACCCTTTCATTAGGGAATACATTGCAGTCTAATGGAAGATATTCTGCACAAGACAGAGAAGCATACTAACTGTGCTACTTCCTACTGAATATTTATGCCCTCAGCTATAACTTCAGGCAAGATTTTAAAAGATATGAGTCCATATTTATGGATAATATTGCTGAGATTTTGTTAAACACCCTTATTTTACACTAAAATGTGGATACTAGTTTTTATGCATATTGAATATAGCTTGGATTCTTTATCATACAAGTTCACTTACATGAGAGAAACATTTCAAAGCTTGGAAACATTTCAAAGCTTGGAAATAATATTCCTAAACATAACGCTGTAAATAATTCAAAATATAAGAACTTTTTGTTCTGAATGAAAGACTTGAGTGTCGCAAAATTCTATCCAATCCGTTTTTCATGGGCCAGCCCCTCTCTATTGAATGATTTTTTGGCTGCTGTTCCATGGAGTGTAATCTTAACATCCAGTATGTCCTCTATGAGGGAGCTGTAGCCTGCCTTTACAAGAGGACGGGGTCAATAATTTGTTAGTTCTTTTATATCTCTAACTGCAATGATCCTGCATAAAAGCAGATGACTGAGTTTCCATTCTGTAGCTTCTAGTATGTGGGGGAAATCCACTGTAATTGAATCTTATAAAATCCTCTTATTCCCAATATAAATAATTTTCTGACATAGGCAATTCTCCTGAGTCTACATCATAGCCCAAGGAAAACAAACAGCAGGAACAGTTGCTTACTTCCTCTTAAATTAATACTTGGTAATTTTGGGCAAACTTCTGCCCTGATTACAGTAGCTGCAAGCCTTGCTGAAATTAATTATTGTTGAGAAAGAATTTGGATTACTGATTTTCTGACTTTTAATGTTACTTTGCATAATGACTGAGTTTAGCATGTATCTTAAGCTATGTAAACAGCAAGACAATAGTTGTCTGAATTGTTCTACAGCATGGAGTGTTGTATTTCTCATTTTGTATTAGAAACAAAAGCACATAAATCCTGCTTGACAGGAATTGAAATCGAAAGTGTACTGGCAAAAAAAGAGCTATATGTCTCATTAAGCAAATTTACCAAAACTGAAGGATCTTCTTAGCTTACAAGTATGAATTATGGCAACATTATTAATAATTGGCAGTGATACAATACTAATTCCAACCACATTGCAACTTTTTATCCCCATTTAAGGTTTGGGATAATGGAGTGCACAGACAAAAACTCTTGTCCAACAGTACATTATGAAGCAGAGAGGGCTTTGGGTATATACCCAGTCCTTTGACCTACTCGCTGGACGATGCTGTTGTCCTTGTGCACAAGAAGTTTGGGACTACACCACCAGAGAGCACTGTGCTATTTCTGCACAGTATTTCTTACCTTTCCCTGAAGGTTTAAGGATCGTTTTTATTGATTTTTTTCATTATGCTCCAGTAGAACTCAAACGATTGTTGTGATTATATTGGAATTCTCAGGCATTTTTGTGTCACTACCCTGTGAGTATCAACAGTCCTGACCAGCCTCACCTGGGACCTTCACCCCACTTATGGCCCAGAAAGCCCATTTAAGTTCAGTCCTGGGCCTGGGGTCCTTGTCTAAGATATGTTGGGGGGGTGCTGGCCCCCACTTTTGTCTCCTGGGTGGACCTGAGACCTGTGCTGGAGCTAGCCTGTCTCCTAGATGAATTTTGGATCCACAGTGTAGCTTGTGTCCAGCCCTGTCTCCTTCTGCTCCTGACCAGACTCCCTTGATGGCCCCCGTGCCTGATTCATTCTATCACCATGTCTGGGGTGATCAGTGGACGCTGTCAGCAGCACTCAGCTCTGCCTGCCATGCTTAGATGTGGTGGGGCTTGTGTGCTGATTGGTGAGAGCGCTGCCTGTGCTGGGCTTGCCTGGGTCTCACCCCTCCTCAAGCAGCCAGCCCTCTCTGCACTTTGACCTGTCTAGCTGGCCCATGATCTGGGACACCTGCTGCTGAAAACAGAGCATAACGTCCAGGTATCAAACTGTCTTGTTTCTGCTACTTCTGACGTATTTACCATGAAAGCATCATGTATTTCACTTTTGAAACTCATGTAATTCTGTATTGTGAGTCTAAAATCCCTGTCAGAAAAGGGGAGGCAATAAATGGCATATTTGGTGGGAAAATATTTTGCTTAGTGTCACCTGGCTTTCTCTGAAATTTCCTCTGTCTTTCTGAACTTTTGGTATTCTCTTTGTAGCCTGGATTCTTGTAATGTAGTTCCCTCCCCCTTAATGACAGTGCAATTGAAAAGCTAGATTGATTAAAAATATTGGAAAATCCACAGAAATTTTCCAATTTTTTGTATCTCCAGAGAACAAATATGGAATAAACGAATAGCTTAGTAGGATGTGAGAATATTCCATTTAAATGTCCTTCACCAGTGAAATTTGCATGTATTTATGTAGGCATTAAAAAAGGAAATCAATGTGGGAAATGTCTTTTCAACTAATTCCTGGATCTATTTTATCCAAAGAAACAAAACAAGTTTTTCTGAGGATTTCTTTTCAACTCAGACTTCAAATACTTTGTAGGAAGATGTCAAAAAAGACAAACTTTTCTGTTTTGTTGCAATGTTCTTCAGAAAATGAGAGTACCACCTTAATGTTTTTAAGTTTAGTCATTGAACTGAGTTATGGATACTTCTTAATCACTTAAGAGGACATATAATAAATGGTTTTTAACCATTGCAGCAGAAAGGTGAGGAAACTACTAATTCACTGCTTCTGCAGTTTGTTATTATTAGCCCAATTTTTAAGAGATCTCAGGGTAGCCCTGACAGTAGCCTTTTAGAAGGGTGTAATAAAACCAACCTCATCCAAACAGAATAATTACCAAATGCATGGTTGCAGGGATTTCTAGACAAGGAGAAAAAAGTCCTAAATTAAAAGTACTTCAGTGGAAGCTGGCCCTGTAAATAAGCTGTTAACCCTGTTTGCAAGGGAAAGTATTGATCTAAAGGCACCAGGACAGAGAATTCCAGACCAGTCTCCATGCAGGCTGAGTAGGGTATGGGAGTGAAACAGCAATCTTGTATGTTATGTGTCAGAGTGCAAATGTTCATGAAACAGCAGGTATTTCATGTAGAAAAATAAAGTTAGTTACTGGTTTTCCACAGTGCCTGACTTTCTTCCTATATGAGTGGCATCGATGAAACTGTTAGAAAAAATGCAATAGAATTTGATGCTGTGTATTTGAATAAGTAATGCACTGTGGTGGTTGTAAAATTATTTCTGTTGTAATTAAAGCTTTTTCTTTTTTTCTCATCACTGGGTTGTGCCTCTGCTCCTTCCTGACCTATTGCCTTCTTGGTCCCTCTTAAGCTATCACCTGTTTTATAAACTGGAGAATTGGGGAATCTGAGGTGCCAGTGAAACACTTCAAGCTGTCCTGACTGACAAGCTGACTTGCTCTTTTCTCTCGGATGCTGTTAGGATTACGTGTATCATTTCCTCTCAAAGCCATCATTCTTCACCATCGGGTTTGTAGTATCTATCCAAGCCAACTTGATGGATACTGTGGACTATCCCCATCAGTCCACAATCTTTCTTCCCATGCTAGCAGTCTAGTTGTGAGGTTGAAACTTCTGTTACTGCTAATCCCCAAATTGATTCAGCACCTTTTTATTTTTTTAAGAAAACACAAAGGCATTTTTTTCCTCCTGGTGTTTTATTACTTGTGACAAAACAGATTTATTATGGAGTAGACAGGTAGCATGTAGCATTGCTAAACAGAAAAACACTTCCTGGTTTTTCCCTTTTATGCCCTGGTGAATAAACAGCTCCTTTCCCTCAAACTGTTTCTGATACGGATTAACACCACAGCAAAGGTAAGTTTAGAACCTGCTAGGAACTTGTCTGAGCTAAGGGCAAAAGAAAGGAAGGTCTGACAGAACTAGAGTTGCACTTTTCAGCTCTTTGCTATCAACTTGCAAATAGAAAGGGCTGAGAAAAAAAGGAAGGCCTCGGTGGTGGGGATTTACAGCTCTTCTGTTTCACCACTCCTTGGCACATTGACCTCAGTGTGGTACTCAGAGGAGTCTCCTGAAGGCATCCAAGGTATTGGGGTTCTGTTGAAGGAGGGTCTGTTGCGGAAATTTTGATTATATATCATGAGAGATTCTGGAAGCAAAGGGCAAATATCAAACTGAGGCACTTTGAAGGTCATCCGTTTGGCTGCTTTCTCATAACCTCCGTAAGGCATGGCAGTCCTGGCATAGGGGAATACATGGAGTCAGCGAACAGAGCATAGGTAAACAACAGGATTTAGAAAATAAATAATCAGTTATTAAGATTGTAAATTTTACCACTGTTGCAGTTGACTGGCCAACAAATCCTTCCCAAGAACATACACACATCCACTGCCCATGTACTAAAAAAGATTTAAAAACAACATTCCCCCACCACCCTGGCTCCTGTGCACCTCCTTCACCCCTGTTGCCTCAATCTCCATCAAACCATACACCTCTCACACCTCTAGATACAGTGAAGTTAACAGAAAATTGTTGCTACTTTAGAAATATTTGTAAAACTTTGAGTTTTTATCAGAAGCAACAGGAAGATCCCGATTCTTATCTGAAGTACTGTGAAGTATATGCCTTCTGATTGTAAGTATTTTTCCTGAACTCTTGAACTTTAAATGTCTGCAGTAATAAACAGTGACAATCTAAATCTCCCTGGTCAAATGAGGTGAGAAAGAAAGGGAAAAAGGATTAGAGTCCTCTTATCCTGCTGCGTAGTTTTCTGTCCATAAGCTGAATTAAAATCTCTAGCTCTTAATGTATCTTCTCTTTGTGGGCTTCCAAACGTTTCATCCACAGGGGACTGTGCTAAGCAAAATTACATGCAACCAGAATTTATTTACATTGCAGGAGGGCTGTGGCCAGGGTTATTGTGTTTTCTCCTGCTGA